GCATTTTTTATATCTGTACGTAGTAGTATTAAGTAGTAGGAAATCGATTCATTGAAGGCTCAAGTATGAAAACAAAACAGTAGGTGAGTAATATTTTGCATCAAGTTACGAAAGTTTGGCACAATCTTTCATGGCCCTGTGTGCGCACCCTGGGTCTTCCCATTTATTTATTATTATCTGTCGGCATGCTCGCACGTGAAAAAAAAGAAAATCTTCAGAAAAGAGACACTTCAAAAAAGAAAAAGAAAGTGAGCAAAGGAAATTTCTGGAGCATCAAATCAAATAGACTTCCCCACCCAGTAATATTTCTGGCATAGCCAAGCTTGTTGCATGCTAATTATTTCTAAAAGCACTTAATGGTAATGTATGGGTAACTAATTAAATCTCAGAGGGTGATCACTAAACAAAAATCTTGAGACACTACAACAAAACAACACTTTTCTCTTGGACATTTTCCAAGAGAAAAGTGAAGATATCCGAGAGAAAATTTATTTCTTTCAGAATTTCTCTCAAATAAAAAGAGAGAGTAAATTTTTGTAGAAAAAAATATTTTCTCTCGTGATATTCCGAGAGAAACATATTCTCTCCGAAATTTTTGAGAGAAATATGTTCTCTCCGAACTATCTAAGAGAACTTCTCTTGGGTTAATTCGAGAGAAATTTCTTTTGGGTAATTTTGAGAGAACATTCTCTCAGTATTTTCGGAGAGAACTTTCTCTCTGAATTATCTGAGAGAAATTTCTCTCAACCAATTTCGAGAGAAAGTTAGAAAGTTCTCTTAAAATTTTTTGAGAGAACATATTTCTCTCGGGCTAATTCAAGAGAAATCACACATGGGACGTGTGCTACTTTGGTCACTCTCTCTCTCTCTCAAAATATTCCGTGAGAAACATTTTCTCTTAGAAGGTTTTGAGAGAATTCTGTGAGAACATGACATTATATATTGATGTGAATGTTGTTCCCTTTTAGTCCTCTTCCCTGTGACATTAACATTTCAACATTTTATAATAGCACCAATGCAACAGCACTAATTTTTTGACTGCCAATTTAAATAGATGTTTCCATAAAACTCTTTACAAGTCAATCAAAAGTTATAACATATAACAAAATTACTAAAATCCTAAACATCTACTCATAATCAGTATCATCATTAGACTCATCATCTAACCCATCATCACTACTAGACATCTCATCTTCTTGGGCATCGATTGCAGGAACACTATGACTGGTGGAGGCCTTAAATTGAGCCATCATTTTCTTCAAGAACTTTTGATTTTGTGATAGCTCATCTCTAAATTGCTTTTCTCGAGCTTCATGTGTGGCTTTCATTGCTCTCATTTCTTCTTGTTGGGCCTCTATTATAGCTACAAAATTAGCCAAACTTTCTTCATAACTTTTGGTTTTTTCATCTAACTTTTGTTGAAATATGTCCTCCATATACGACGCCTTAACTGTGTAAGTTCACCATAATTGGATGTAGTTGAGCTATATGAGTTGAGAAGACCAACTTGCTCTCCTAATCCAAAACAACGCCCTTTTTTACTCTTGCCTCCCACAGCTTTGATCCATAAGTGGAATCAGACTCAGATAATGTAGGGTCTTGACTATCACGAAGTTGCTCAAAGAGTTTCTGCATTAATGAAGAATAATAAATCATTAATTATCAAAATTTGCAATATTTTTAAACAAAAAAATATCTAAGCAAACTTAAAATAACTCACGTATGTTTGTTCAGCTCTCTCAAAAATCTATCCCCCTTTTTTTTCATCATATTGAGTTTTTTTAAATACCTCAGGAAAATGGACCTCATGGCCACACTCATCTTCCTGTAAAATTCCAACAAAAGAAATTAGAAATTCATAAAAGAATAAAAAAGTAAAGAGCATGTGATAAAATGTTTACCATCTTTCTTTTATAATCTGAAAGTGACACTCGACCACCTCGATGTTTGTAGCTTCCTGAATCTTTTGCGTGATTTGCCTTGTTGGTGGTGGATTTTTTCTTGAACTCTTCATTGTTCCAATATATTTCTAAATCCTTTCTTAGTTTTTCAAGCATCCAATCACCTTTACATTTTCCACTATGAATGTCTCGTAGTGATGAACGAAAGATTGAACCAGCTCTCTTCTTCTATATTTGATAGATTGCCCCATCAAAAGCAGGATCCCAAGTAAATCTTAGCTACATAAATGTTAAAGATTGTTAGATAAATATGATAAATAAGGATTGAATATAACTTTAATAAAAATTCTCACCTTGAGTTCTCCAAACCATAACTTCTTGACATCAGCTGGAACTTTTTAAACTCAGGCCATCCATGCTCATATTTACTTTTAATTATTTCAAAAATACCAGATACAGTTGGAGCATGAGGAAAGAATCTATGAAAAATAATAGTCATCAAAATTAATAGCAATGACCTAATAACTATTAATATAAATAAAGTTATCTAAAGAAATACTTACTCATTAGAACCATGCGGCCTAATAACTAAACGACCATCATTTGCTCTTGACCCAGCATCAAGAAGCATAAAACTATTAGATGAGTTTATTTCGTGGCTCACCACATTTGGTGAATTCCTATCAGAAGGTGTATCAGAAAGAGGGGAAGGACTACAAGTCGTATGAATGTGCTGAGATGTAGAGGAGGGTGATGATATATGCTCATGATGTATAATAGGTGGAGAGTTTGTGCCTTGTGATGATGATAGGCGCCTAGATGCTAAGGGTCGAGGTGGTCTCTCTTTGTATAGACCTTTTCCTTTTTTGTCCTTATTCCTTCGTGAATCTGACATCTAAAACATGATAAAAAAAAACATAAGTTAAAGACAACTAACATAAATAAAGAAGACAAAAAACGTAATAAATAATAGTAAGTGAAATAACATGATTTACCAATATTTTATCAATCATTAGATAAATAAAAATTACTTGGAGGTTCCTCCTCAGTTTCAGATGAGTCAGTATGAATTAAGTCCTCATCAGAACTTTCATCAATTGCTTCATCACTAGTAATCTCCCTCACGCTTATGCCACTGACTTCTTTAATATGGACAGTATATCTCTTAGGTTCGCCTCAACTTCAAATGGCATATCATCACCCTCAATCAACTGAGGAGGATTATTGGCTTCATCTTGAAATGGTGCATCATCACGATAATCAGGTGCATCAACTATATTCCTTGCTTTTGTCTTTATCACAACAAGCCAATCTTTTTTTTTTAGGAGTTGATTTGGGATATTCTGTAAAATATACTTATTCAGCTTGTTGGGCAAAGATAAAATCATCATTCCCGTATATCTTTTTTGGAATAACCTCTACAATTCCATATTTAGGATGAACTCGAGTCCCACGACTTGTAGGATCATACCACATGCATTTGAAGATTGTCAAGTACCGAGATAGGTCATCGGTGAAATCTAATTGTATAATCTCATTCAACACACCATGATAAGAATATTCAACTCCATTATGACTTATTCCCTTGACACTTATACCACTATTATTGGTCTTCCTTCCTTCTGCCCAAGAAGCTGTGTGAAACTTATAACCATTCACTAGATATTGATCGAATGTAAGCACACGTGTCTTAGGACCCTAAAACCAAAGAAATTAACAACTTATCTTGTATCCCATTTTGAGGATTTAAAATCTATTTCAAAAAAGTATAACAAATAGTTATTTTCTTTCAAAATGTGAGAATAATTGAAAAGATTTTAAAGATAAGGAAATTAACTTACGTAATTTCTGAACCAATCAGGAAATTCATTGATATCACCACTTGATTGCTCATAAGAACTGTATTAGAACACAAACTAATTAACTACATGATATAATTGAGAATGTGAAGTAGCAAATATGTACATTATATCAAAGATTGAAATATTCATACTTGAGGAAAGGTTTGACTTCAGGAGTATTGAGAAGAATATACAATGTTATGGCAGCTTGCTCTTTTGAAGTGAGAAGACGAGTGTTTTGAGTTATTTTCTCGAGAGGCTGCCCTGGATAATTGAAGATAGAAATAGAAGAATAATCATCACATTCACCACCATCATCATTTCGAGTAGCCTTCTAGTTCTTGATTGAACATGTGTTTCAAAATAATAAGAGCAAAAAGTTGAAGTCTCTTCAAGAATGTAAGCTTCACAAATAGAGCCTTCAACACGAGCCTTATTTTTTACCTTCCGCTTTAATGTGTATAAAAATCTTTCAAAAGGATACATCCACCTATATTGTACAGATCCACCAATCATGGCTTCATACACCAAGTGAATAGGTAGATGCTCCATAACATCAAAAAAACTAGGAGGAAATATCTTCTCAAGATTACACAAAATAATAGGAATATTCTGCTCCATGACTTTAAGACTATCAAGTTGTAAAGTTGGTGCACAAAGATCTCGAAAAAAATGGCTCAACTGTGTCAAAGCTTCAAATGTTGAGTATGGCAAACCATTGCATACTATTGGAAGTAATCTCTCCATAAAAACATGGCAATCATGACTTTTCATTCCACCTAATGTGCAACTTTTCATATCAACACACCATCCTAAGTTGGATGCATAGCCATCTGGAAGCTTTAGAGTTTTCACCCATTCACACATGGCTCGCTTTTGCTCCATATTAAAGCTATATGGAGCATCAGGTTTTTTCATTTTTCCATTGCCTAAATCTTTCATGTGTAAAGATGGTCGTTTATAATATTTGGCTATATCTAATCTTGCTTGTTCATTGTCTTTTGTTTTACCTTTCACATCCATCACTGTATTGAACACATTATTAAAGACATTCCCTCGATGTGCATAACATCTAAGTTATATGGATTTTAGAGATCACGCCAGTAGGGTAGATCCCAAAATATACTACGTTTAGTCCAATTATGTTCTACTAGATACCCCTCTAAACGCATGTTTGGTTTATCAGTTATTTTTGGGAATCCCCTAACTTGATCGTACAATTCATCTCCTGAATACCTTAATGGAGGTGGTGAATTCTCTATAACATTTTTTGAAAATTCTGTTTGTTCCTCCTATAAGCATGATCCTCAGGCAAGAATTGCCTATGACAATCAAAATAACTAGTTTTTCTGCCATGTTTTAAATGAAAAGCTTTTGAAGAACCCATGCAAATTGGACATCCTAATAGCCCTGATGTCTGCCAGCTACTTAACATGCCATAAGCCGGAAAGTCATTTATAGTCCATAGAAGGGCAGCTCTTAAAGTGAAATTTTGTTTTGAAGAAATATCATAAGTTAGAACACCATCTTGCCAAAGTATCTTCAACTCATCAATAAGAGGTTGTAAGAAAACATCAATTCTACTCTTTGGATTACTTGGCCCAAGTATTATGATTGTTAGGAACATGTACTCACGTCGCTTATACATACCAGGGGGAAGATTATAAGGAGTAACAATCACTGGCCAACATGAGTATGGTCGTGAACCCAAGCCAAATGGATTGAAACCATCAGCACAAAGCCCCAACCTAACGTTTCTTGGCTCTGATGCAAATTCTGGATAAGCTTGATCAAAATGCTTCCATGAACTCCCATCTGATGGGTGGGACAACACACCTTCTTCATGATATTTGTCAATGTGCCAACTCATATACTTAGCAGTGGCATTAGATGAAAATAACCTTTGTAGTCTTGGAACAAGTGGTAAATACCACATTTGTTTAGCTGGGATCTCCTTATTTATCCTCCCTTTTCTCACTCTTTCTTCCTTAAACCTTGGTTCCTTACAAAATCGACATGATTTATCCTTAATTGCATCACCATAGTACAACATACATCCTTTTACACAACAATCAATCTTTTGATAACCACAACCAAGTTGTCCAATCAATTTCTTGGTTTGATACAAGTTTGTAGGCATGCGATGATTAGCAGGCAATATCTCATTTATTAGTGTGATGATTTCATCAACACATGCACTTGGGACATTATAATCAGACTTAATACTCAATAACCTGACAGCTACTGACAATACAGTATGATTCTCACATCCATCCCACAATGAAGACTGTGAAGCATGAAGTATGTCATAAAACTTTGCAGAATTGGGATTAGGATCCTCCTCAAAAACAGAATGTTCATTAAATGATGGCCCAGCTGCATCCATAACCATTTGCTCATACGGATTGGAGGTCATGCGAATGTTGACATTAATTGGAGCTACTTGGGGACGTTCTTCTCCATGGCAATGCCAATAATAGTAATCTTTTGTAAATCCTTTCCTATATAAATGCTTTCTAACATCATATGGTATGTGTTGCTTCAAATTTCTACATGATACACATGGACATCTTATTTTTCTTCCTTCATCCCCTTTGCCAGCAAACCTAATAAATTCCTCCACCCCATAAAGGAACTCATCAGTATGCTTACCTCTTTCATCCACTCTATTATATACCCAATGACGATGCTCGGGAGGTTCCATCTAACAAGATAAATTAATTAAATATGTATATAACCCATTATTTCACCACATATTCTTTTGAACTACATGAGATAGCTCTATTTATGAACTACATGCTAACAAATAGAACTTTTATTCAGCAGCACTTAAAACATATTCTTACATGAAAAAGTTAAGAGCACATGTTCATTATTAGAAGTTTTGAACAAATAATATGTGTAGCAACTTAAAACATAAAAAAAATCATGTGCCTTTTAAAACAAATCAAAATTTTGAACAAATCATGTGCCTAATTTTCACTTAGAATCTTAAAACATAAAAAAAAATGTGCAAAAAGTTAAACTCATAAATTGGACAAATGTACCTTATATCCTTATGCTTCACAAATGTTGTCAGCTTAAAGGAAGATAAAAAGCACAGCCACAGTTCTTTCTTCCCTAAATGCTTGCAAAATTTATAAATTGGTCACTTTTTAATTGTAAATTATTCTACTAGACAATAATTAATATTCTTAGATTGTGACAGGGGATTCAAATGAAAACAACCATGAAGTTAGGATGTGCTTAAACTATATTAATGAGTCCTCACATGAAATCATTAACTCAAGTATTTTTTTGTTTAATCACTAAGTCAAGTATTAACTAAATTGAAATTACACACAAACACACACATCTATGGAATTTTAGAACCTTGAAAATAAGAAATAAACAGAACAATACCTAGCTTAATTCTGTAGTTACTATCCTATCAAATTGATAAATTCCAGACTATTTGATAGAGATTGTTGACTAATTATGTATATCTTTTTGGCTTATTTTTAGGTGTGATTTACTTGGGAAACATAAATTAGAACATGATAAAATATGAAAATAATTTTTTTTTTGGGTAAAAAGGGAGACAGTGCTTAAGTTGAAAAAAATTAGAACATCCTACTTCAAATTAGAACATAATACTTCAAATTACAACATTTGTAGTGAAGCTTGATATAGTAAAAGAAAGGCGGATATCATCCTTTAAACACTCATTAACATGTGTTTATAATATTGCAGATAGGACAAATTTTATTGTTTTCGATTATGATTCAGTGGAGACCTCAAGAACTTTATTTATAGGTCCAATCTAAAATGACAAAGTTGACAAAAGTAGAACAAAGTCTTCAGGGACCACGTGATGGATGCATCATTCCTATGTCCATTATTTCTTCTCTACCTCTCTTCTTCTTTTTGAAATAAAGGATATTATATTAATAAAAGAATAAAAAGAAAAACAATTAAAAATGAAGTTTAAAAGCTATATGAGATTCCTGAAAGTTCAAACACTACAAAGTTGGGCAAGTGAGTAAAACATGCGTGTAAAAAGGAGAAAAAAACAAAGTTAGTGGGGGCCAATTCATTGACATGGAAAGCAAAGAAGACAAAAAAAAAATTCAAGCAGAGTTCATTTTATTATCAATACCCAACAAGAGTCTAACAAATTTAAACCCCCAATCTTCTCTCTTCCCCCTTTAGCTCTGTACAATCCACGAATAAATACAGTTCCACTCCACTATCCTATTTTCTTTTTCCTAATCTTCAAGTCTCTCTCTCTCTTTCGCGTACACACAAACACATACAGGATATTATATAAGAAGAAAACATGTGCAGAAATATATAGACTCAAATACCCAAAATGGATTAGGAGAAAAACAGTACCTGACAAATTGAAGGAGGAACTCGAATGATAAAGCTCTCTATCTACTGATGTGAGAACGCTGAAGGCAGCAAAAAAAAATGGAGGAGCTACGGTGGAGGAAGAAGCTGAGGAGAGATGAAGAGGAAATGATGACCTGAAAGAGAAAGGCGGCAGGAGTGAGTGATAAAGGGGAGGGAAATGAAATTCTACAGTGAAAGTGAAATTAGGGATTTCAGATATAACTTGAAATTCTTTTTTTTTTCAATTGCTTCACGTTTATTTTTTTTTTTGTACCAGCAAAAAAAAATTGGACTTCTGGAGTTTTGAACTCAACACGTAAGGGATATAAATAATAATTTATTATCACCAATTGAGCCATAGCACCATGTACTCATTATCCCATGCATAATTATATAAATACATACACATACACAATAATCCTAAACTATTATATTTTATATAAAAATCCTTATTAACAATGAAAATTATTAAAATATTATTTATTTTACATTATTTTATACATAAAAGCTCATTATTTATATTTCAATATTACTAGTGAGAAACTACTATTTATCAACTTCTTCCCTTAAGCTTCTTTCTTCTTAAATTTCCTTTATAAAAATAACATACTAAATATTGCATCTCAAATTATAAGATAAAATGACGCAAGATTACGCATAACAAAATACCACCAGTATTCTTTTATAAGTTGGGACCAAGGGAATATAATACAAGATATGTATACCTATGTGCACGCATGCGCATGACAATAAATGCAAAGCATACACTATTTCACACATATTACAAGTAATTAATTAAACAATTGTCAATTATATATTTCACCTTATGAACTAGGAAAAACGAGTTATTAGTGGAATGTCTATATCATTATGCAAATAGATTATAACACATATGAACAACAATATATTTAATTTATTTTCTATTGTTTTAATATTACAAATCCTTAAATCAAATATAATATTTTTTACATATATTCACAATTTAAAATGATGATTAGTTCCTGGTTAATATTTCACAAGTAATTTAATTTACTTTACTTTTATAAAAAAATATACTTCAATGGTAACAAAATTTATTATAATTTAAAAATAAAAAAATAATTTCTCTTAGAAAATTCTAAGAGAAAATATCAAAATTTTCTCAGAATAATCTAAGAGAACATTTCTCTCAGAAGTTTTCGAGAGAAATTTAAGCATTTCTCTCGAATATTATTGAGAGAAATATTTCTCTCAGATTATTATGAGAGAAAATATTATATAGAATTTTTTTTAATTTTTTAAAATATTTCTCTCCGATTATTCTGAGAGAAACTTTCTCTCAAATCTTTCTGAGAGAAACTTCTTTCGGTTACTTCTGATATAACAATTTCTCTGGGATTATTTTGAGAGAAAATATTAAGGATCTCTCCGAATAATCCGAGAAAAATCTTGTCTCTGATTTATTTGAGAGAAACATTATGCAAATTTTTTTTATAATTTTTTGTTTTTTATTTATTATTTCTGCCAAATGTTTCTCTCGATATTGTTCGAGAGAATAAATTTCCGCCATAGCGCACTTACTTTCTCTCAAGTTTCTCTCAGATTTTCTCTCCAATTTTCTCTCTATTTCATAAACTGAGAGAAAATTCATGAAAACATTCATATAAGAGATTTTTCGAGAGAAAATCAGAGAGAACTTCTCACCTTATTATTTCTAAGAGAAATTTTTGAGAGAAATATACTGTTTTGTTGTAGTGGAATTTGGATATCAATAAGAGGATGAACAACACGAAATAAAATAAAGTACAGGCTTCGACACATAGTCATACATACGAATTCGAGATAAGGGAAAAAAAAAAGAAAAGAAGAAGAAGAAAAAAGATGAAAGGAAGCATCAAACTCAAACCAAGACTTCGAATAACCCTCTTCATTTCCCGTAGAAAAGATCAAAACAATATAATCCTCAAGTCCCCATTATTACAAAGAAGAATATAAAAAATAATTCAAATCCACCAATTGTTATGATATAATGATTAGAGGTTAGCTAGATCTATCACATGTAAGATCCTTGTAATTATTTTGTATTATAAGTTATTAGTATGTAAGATGTTCATAAGAAAATTTATATGGTTAAAATTAATTTTTTATCAAAATATTTTTTTAAGATAATTAAAAAATTGGAGATAAATTTGTTTTTAAGAAAAGAAGGGGAAATATTTAACCATTTTGAGAGAAGATAAAAATTTTACTCCCTTTATTCAAAAATGTAAGATATTTTTTGAGGAGTTACATGTTCAAAAATGTAAGGCATTTTTAGTTTTTTGAGATATAATCATTTCTTTTTTTCAAAAGTTTCCCTATTGATAATAACTTTATATTTATTATAGGGTATTTAATAGGGATAAATATAAAAATATAGGGTTACTTGAAAAGTAGATAACTACTTTATGAGGAGGTGAGATTTGGTTAAAAATGTCTTATATTTTTAAACGGAGGGAGTATTATTTATTTGTTAATTTTTGAAAAAAGTATGGAGAAGACAAAAATAAAAGATATTTAACATAAACTAATATAATATATATCTATAAATAAATTATACACTTAATTATTGTCATTTAAAAATAAAATAAATTTTAGAATGGCTTTAAAATGTTTATAAGCAAATTATTTAATATTGATAATTTATTTCATTTTAAGAATATTTTCCTAACAAAAATAATATTTGTTGGTAAAAATAAAATATAAGTAGTCTTATAAATTAATTTATTAAATTAATTATTGAAAATAAAATATAATATACTCATATCTTTTTACTGTTATATTGCTCGTGTTTGATATATGTGTATATAGGTAAATAACATATAATTCCTCTGATAAAAAATGTAAGGTATTTTTAATCGAATCTCACCCCAATAAAGTAGCTACCTATTTTTCAACTAACCCTATCTTTTCATATTTACTCCTATTAAACACCTTACAATAAATATAAAGTTATTATCAATAGAACACTTTTAGAAAAAAAAGGTCATGATTACCCTGAAAGACTAAAAATTTCTTATATTTTTGAACATTTAACCTCTCAAAAAATGTCCTACATTTTTAAATGAAGGGAGTAATTAATTTCACATATCATGACTGTATATGCATTTTAATTTAAATGGCAAAGAATGAGGATATGAGATTTGGAAGATAAGACGTCAAGAGTTTAAATCTTGCTGGCATATTTTGTAATGAACATGCCCCATGGCACGAGGTGAGATATGAGTTTGGTCAATTAATTAATTACCACCAGGTGGGGAATGAATGACTTCGCTGTGGCTTTTGGTTCTACATGCATGCATGTGCAAGAAT